CCACATCACAGGATGGAGACTGGGAAAAGGGGGACCTTTCCTTGCTTCAATTACAGAAGGAAAATGATGTCTCCTGACAAAGCTGGAGAGCAACCCTTCCTGCTCATAGAGGCATGGACACTTGGCACACTAGCAAATAAAGACAGGAAGTTCATCTGGGAACACCAAAAACTTTTGGAAACCTTTTCAAACTCATAATTGCTTCTCTAATACTGTCTCTCACCAAATAAACAGAAAGAATAGATAACATGGGCTCCACCTCAGATCCCACCACTGCACTGTGACCTCAAATAATTCAGCTAATGGAGTTTGCAGTCACCATGCTATAGACAAAGATGGGAGAATTTTAAGTGTTAATCATTAGACTCAGTATAACAGTAACTTTAACATACACGCACACACCACCCTCCCCAATTTGCTAGAGGTTTCTTTAATTTGGTTTTGGTTTGTATGAAGTTTTTTCCATAGGTTTAGGTTTTTAAATTTATTTTTCCTGGCAAGATGATGCACCCTAGTTCATTGAGTACTCCTTTCATGAATCAAAATATCAGAAGTACATGTTTCCCGAACTTGCTGGAATAAATATTTTACATAGCCCCCTCTGGAGCATTTTTGTTAGGGTGTTTCTCTTGCTGTTTGTGCATGTGACTTACTACATAATTAATCTAAAAAGCCTGTAGAAACAAGCCTCTCTATGGTAGGGAAGTATCCTTGGAGGACTTTGGAGGTCCAAAGAATGGAGAATAGATTGAGACTGTCTGTAACAGTTCATATTCCTGGTATGCTTACTCTATGGACATGTCCTTACTAGGTATATTTGCTTGCCTTCCATGTAGTCTGTGGGTGAAAATATTCTAGAGATTATTGCAGGTTATTTGAATATTTTTCCTGGACATAGATGATTTTCAGTTAAAAGGGATCATCTGAAGAGATATTCAGAGTAAACTCAAGGTATGTCAGCAGTGGGTACAACCTGAAATATATTGAACACAGAAAATAGGTTTATCTTTTGTAGGAGTTTCTCCAGGATGCAGTGCAGTGTTACCCGGGCACAGCCAAATTAAACCCGAACTCAGGGGAAAATATATCCTGCTGGATCTGACTAAGAGGAGAGAGGCTGCTGCAGCTCTGTATGCGAGATCTAACCAGTAGTTAGGCTGAAGATCTATTCCCAGCAGGCCATGTACACATAACTCAAAAAGTTACAACACAAATATATGCATGTACGCATGACCATATACACACTTATTGCAGCCAAAACACCCAGGACCATCCAGGGTGCTCCCACAAACACCAAGTGCATCGTCATCCTTACAGTGGTCCCCTGAAGCAGCACAGCATCAAGGTCCACTCATGAGAATCTGTGTCTGTGCACATGTACACATTGTGGCTCCCTCCATCACCTGTGCTCATAAACTCCATCTGCCCAGTAGCTGCCCCTGGATCCCAGTCTCCTCAGTTTCTGGCACCTGGGCCAGAATAAGCCTCCAGTGTTGACTTGCAGTGATGGGTTTCATGCTGTACAGTGGGAATGGGACTTTCTTAGAACAACCCTGGAAGGGAACTGGATGTGCTGTCCAGGTCTTTTTCTAAGTCTTAATTTGGTAACCTTCTTTAGTGCTTCTACTAGCCACCAGGCTAGTAGACATAGGCTTTGGATAATCTGATGTTTCCTGCAATAGGCCTGAGGACAGCCAGTGCCAGGATATTATTTGGACTCTCTCTCTCTCTCTTGCCATAATCTCTCTGTGCTTGTTTTGGATGTACAGATAAGCTTTTATCACCTGATCTAATGTGCACAGTCTGGTCTCCACAGCAGTAACATCAAGAGCAGCTCCCCCATATTGCTCTGTGCTATCTACCTTGGCTTCCAGCATCTCAGCTGCCTCAGCCAGCTGGGGCTGTGTGTTCCTTAACCCCACTCTGTCACACTGTGCAGAATTCCTTGCAAGCTGACCAAGAGCACACACAGGCCCCCTGCCACTATTGCCTGGGAAGTTCTTTGAAGATGTCACCATTTTAAGATAAGCCATTAGAATTGCTTTTATTTGCGTTCAGCAAGTGCTCTTTTCTAACAAGGGATAGGGTAGAATTGCAGTGCAGACAGAAAAAGCATGGTGTTGATCATGTAAAGTAATGGATCATTGCACTCCTCCATTAATCTGCCCCTCTGGAGTCTATACATGATAAAAATTCAAGAATGGTGCCGATTGCCTGCCTACCATAAAACTAGAAAGGGAAAGATTTACAGGGTGAATTACTATTGACATACACCAAGTCACTGAGAGTGAACAAGAACTGTCCTTTTCAGCTTAATGCAAATATCATCTTTGCCTTTTCATGTCTTCAATCTTCCTGAGGCTGAAGTTCTTTACAAGGACCATTGTTTGTGTTTTGGATTAATCAGAAGCCTCATAGGCCATATATGCAAGCAAAATGACTTTTTTTTCCAAGTAACCTATGTATTTGCTTTAGTGAAGAGTTGTGGTAATCAAAACCTACAGAAGCCAATAGTGATACTATATGTCTAAAAGAAAACATATCAGTGATAAGCCTATTATATCCTTTGAATCAAGCTTCTGCTGGTGTGGTGTTGGGTGTGAAGACATTTGAGTAATTTTCAGTCAGTTATATTTTTTGCACTACAGGAGTCTTTTGCAAAATGTAAACCTTTGGGTTTGTTTGTAAGATCTCTTCTTGTTACTTAAAAAATATAACTAGAAGATGAGACAAAAACAAGACAGATTAAAAAATGTCTATGGATAAAATAAGTTGGTTTGGTAATGAGAAGAATTTGAATGCTGACATTTGTAGTTGTAGAATTAAAAAAAAAATCACATCTGGCTGCAGTAAAATGAAGGGACCTTATATTGTTAATGAAAGAAACTCATGTAAAGCTCTAGAGGCAGTCTGCAAAACATGGCTGAATGAATGCTCTTTAGGGTTGTGTGATGATATTTCTTCAGGCTGTATTTCTTCACCAGTTTATTTCAACTTTACAGATTATGTAAGTAATTCCTTCTGTAAAGCTTAATATCTTTACTGTATATTTTGCTTTTGAAATGTATTTGATTTCCTGCTGACATAAGGGGAGTAAATTGGCTCCCAGCTAATAATTGTTCAGAGCTAAGCCCTTTGAGAGTCCTTAATGGACTAACATACTCTGACATTTGAAGTACTCATACTTGCAAAGTTGCTGTGGTGACAAATGTAGTTCTGGTTTAAAAACACAATAATAATACCACTTTGCTTAACCACTCAGCATGATTCCAAAAGGATATTTCTACCAAAGTGAATGCATGTTGTCCTTTTATTCTGAGAAATGGTATCTTTAGTAAAATATAAGTGTATGGGCAACTCTGACTTCTCTTTGATCACAGTACCTTACACCTACTCAAATTACTATTAAAACAGATTTAAAATAGCACAGTGTCCACTTCTTGAAGAAAAGATCAGGACAGGCCCAAGGGAACAATCTGTAGCACAAAATGTCTGGGACTTACTTGCATCATCTTCTTTTTGGTCACTGTAATAAAGTGAAACATTCCTAAAGGCAGTGATCCTTCTCTTTAAATTTCTCTGCTTGGCACTGCAAACCCATCAGACATGGCCTAGAAGTTCATTGACTCATGCAGGGAACCTGTAGGCAATGGCATTGGACCCAGGGTCACAATGATAGCTATAGCAGTTTTTGCCCATGGCCATCCCTCTGGTTTTGCAGTAAGCAAAGCTAGCTGGAGAGATTTGATCCATTTTCTGTCTTTCACTAGAATCCATTGTCAGACTAGATCATGATCTTTTTTTTGAACATAAGTTTGCAGACAGGGCCTCAATATGTAGAGATGATGACTTTGTTATGAGAAGGGGTCACCAGTGAATGTACCCATGCAGTACCTATGCAGACAAGCTTCCAAGACATCTTCCCATAAATGTGTAGTTATAGAAGTTAGTTTCTATTCTATTGCCATTTTCCTAAGCACCCTGTACTGTCCAAGGAAGGAGGGAGGGAAGAAATGATGTGGGAAAGGCTGGCAGAAAGAGGCATTCTCTCTGTGTTTTTCTCTCTCCACTGATCATATGGAGACAGAAGAGATATCCATATCCCAGCAAAAAATTTGACCCTAGAGCCAGACATAGTCACAAGTCCAATACAAAGAAAGCATAACTTCTTGGAGTAAGTTTCCTGCATCCTGTGTTACCTTCAAGGGTAGGTACTGCTCCCAGTCAGAAGGTGGTAACCAGCTTTCTTTCTGCAGAGCAGATCTGAGAATAGTGGCAGGCAGCAACTGAGAGGTACCATGAGTATGGTTCTAAGTCACCCATTATCTGCTCACATTCAAAGAGAGCTTTGTAAGCTGTTTCACCACCAGCACTCAAGGTCCTTATGGTGTTTCAAGGCCTCAGGTACTTCCAGTCAGCTGCAATTATGGTTAAGGATTGTAAAATTTAAATGGAAGGAAAATCAGAGTTCAAACTCAGCCCCTGCCCATGGTTTAATGCACAATTGCATTAAAAAAAGGTAGATCAAAGACCTGCAGAGGAATGTGCTGGAGAGAAACAACAGAAGGAGGACAGACTAGCTCTGAAATTTTTTTAAGTTTTGCTGCTAAATTTACATTCTGATCATAAAAGTAAGAGATAAGAAATGAATATGTTACTGATTTTCTTTCAGAGCTGTTTTCAGATTATAAGGTTTGTATCAAAATGTGAGAATGAGAGAAAGCCATCTCTTCTTTTTAAAAGTATAGAAAGAATGTAGATGGCAGGGGAAAATAGTACTTTTAGCAAGCAGAAGTAAAACCTGTGTTGATATTGTCTTAGTAATAATAATACCTGACAGATAATACTTAGTTTATTTGAAATCTGTGATTAAACAGAATCATGTTACCCTAGTTGTCAAAGTAAGTATTGTCTCTTTTGCCTTTTTGCAACTATGTTTGAAATTGACTTAATGGGAATTTGCTTTGCTTTGACTCCTCTCTCTCCCTTTCTCTTTTAAGGTCAACTCAAATCAAAACGTACTCTTGGGATAATGCCCAGGTTATTTTGGTTGGCAACAAATGTGACATGGAGGATGAGCGGGTAATCTTCACTGAGAGGGGAAAACATTTAGCAGAGCAACTTGGTAAGAAAAGACACATCAAAAGCTTTGTGATTGCTTGTGAGAATGCACAAATTAATTTCATTAATTGCTACCGTACTTGTAAATACATGACACACTCATTGTAAAGGAATAGTCACACACTGCTTCCCTTTTATTTCTACAGCCTTTTCTGATATGGAGCAAGGAAACAAGTAAATAAAAGTAAATAAGAAAGATAAAAAAAGGAAAAGGGAAAACTAAAAGGAAATAAAAAAAAAAGAGAGAAATTGCAGAAAAAGCTTACTAGACCTTTTTGCAACTTGAGTAGATTTGGGTTATGATTAGCAATACCGATAATCCAAAACAGAAATGTGCTGCTGTCCAACTCAGCTCCCACTGTTAACACTTCGTCCACTGATCGACTGTGCATTCACAGAACTGTAGATATGAACTTGTTTCATAAAGTCTCCCCCTGGGAAGCAAATTCTGTACACACAGAAAATTGCCAAGCTGTGAGCACTTTTGTTGTTTCTGTTTCTACACAATAGTGTTATCTTTTCATACCATGAAATGTTTTTGAACTGACACTGGCCAAACTTTACTGGAAAATCTCAAGAGCATCATTTTAGTACTACTACACAGCCTCTTTTTTCCTTCAAATTTTCTGATCTCTGGATAGTAAGCTCAGCAGATGTGTAAATCAAACTCTGGCATTGTTAGAGGTCTATTTATGTACAGGGAATCATAAATTATGGGCATGGATTTGTTATTGTTTTTAAAAATATGTGTGGTAAAAGTGCAGTCTGGTCAAAATACGTGTAACTAAGATCTCCTTGTCACTATTGCTATATAGCTAGGTAGATTAAAGGATGTTTTAAGAGAGGATCTAATCTCATGCTGGTGGTTCTTAAGTCATGCATATTCATAGGTCAGTGGCCTTGTTTTTTAAAACATACTTTTTTCTACTTGTACAATTACCTTTCCTGCTAAAAAATTTTATCAGGCTAACATACCTTCCTTTTGCACCTGTCTTAATAAGTGTTGCATATGTGTAAAAGCACTCCTTGAAAGAATACATTAAAGATTACTTTTTTATTATTTATACATAATATGATATATATTATAATATTTAATAATTAGAGTTAATTATAATTAATTATCAATGTTTAATAAATTAAAATTATATAATATATAATTAATATAATGATTATAATTAATTATAACATATATCTAATATATAATTTATATTATTACTTATTTTATGAGTTAGTCCTTGAAAGATTTAGGAAAGAAAATATTTAATGGAAAGTTATACCCAGAAAATTTTTCAATATTTTTGAAGAACTCAGTTTCTCCAAGTGCTTACAGCAAAACAATTAACAGCAGATCTTTATCTTTGCACAAATACCATGTCATATTTTTATTTATTTTTTTCTGTATCTGTTATTCCTGTTTCTAATATTTACTCATTGTACTAGGAGGTAGGAAAATGCATTCATTGGACAAATGGACCCCAAAAACATAACTGTATACTTTTACTACACATTTTGACAAGGTGCTGAAACGCTTAGCAACAACCATAAATTTTCACTATAGAATTTGAAGATTTTTTTAAAGTCACGTAACAAATCTGAATTTCTATTCCTTGAACCATATGCCTATTAAAAAAAAAAAAAAATTAATGCAGTGAATTGACAAGGCGTCCCCAAGGTCATGAATTTATCAAGACAAGAAGGAATTCTGCATGATATGCAGTCAATAATCCCCAGATGTAATAACCAATGCTTGACAAAAAGAAAAAAAAGAGTAATGAGATAGATATCAAAACTCATGTTTCAGGCTTTAAAGCAAATTCTAACTCCTGGGGTTTAAAATTCAATCTTTATGGAAGAAGATTATCCTCTATTTCCATATTTATCTACTCAGGGGGTTTCTTCTCTCAGATATATATCCTGTGGCTATCTCAAGGGCAGATTATTATATTAAATAACTTGTGTCTCTCATCCAGTCATTTACTGTAGTCAGACTGCACACATAAATGTTTACATGTACAGCTGCAGTCATTTCTTTAATCTGCCCAGAGATGGGGGTAAGGTGGTGTCAGGAAGAGCAAAAGAAAGCCTTTCCCTTAACTGCAGTAAGTGCACTGGCCTTGCTGGCTGGTTTGGAGGGCACCCATTGTGTTACAGACATGGGACTGTCTTTTGTTTTTCTAGCAGTAAGTTGATAACATCTCTTACAGACAAGTTTTAGAAATAACAATATAGATTTTTCTGTCCAGCCAGACATTTTAAAACTGTGGGCCCTTTGAACTCAATGTTGATCAGACACAAGCAAATAAAATTCATGAGTGCTGTACAAAAACTACACTGTGACACCCTCTGTTCTCAAGTGTGGTTTTATTTTCAGCTCTTGTTTATTTGAAGTCACTGAGAAAATGAACACATGGACCTTCTGGGGTGAATATTCAAGAGATCTAAAAGAGCACTGGGCATTTAACCCTCTGGGAAACATGGTGTTCTGTTGAGAACAGTGTTATTGGAAAGTGGGGCCTTCTTTTGGCTCCTGACCACTCTGAAAAGTGTGGCCTTAAAGTTTATTAAAAGGTGTAATCGTTAATTTATTTAAATCTCTGTGCCGGCTTATTTCTCAAGTGTAACCCAAACAAGGGGTTTAAATGAACAAGCAATAGGTCTCATTACTGTAGAAGGAGTTCTGCTCAACTGCTCAAGTATCCTGTGGTACCTCTGCATACTTTTCTCATGGCACTACTCAAAGTTCACAAAAAAATGAAGGAATAGTTAGGAACCCAGACCTGACCTTGAAGGAAAATTACAGAATGTTTATGAGGTCAGAATCTGTCTTGTTTGCTTTGAAGATTTTTTTTTTAATATTTATTGTTAATAGCATGACACTGGCAATACCATCATGGATCATAGCTAAAAGCAGTGTAGTAGCTGTTTTGTGAAAGATATGTACTGGCAAACACGCAATGATACTTTCTCTGACCATAGCAAATTACATTTGTTGGTTTCATGAACCAAATGCAATACATATATATTCAACAGGCTTTTTCTGATTTTTTTCTGTGGATTTGTAGAATAATGTCTTTAAAGCCATATAGAATCATACCACCCATAACATCCTTTAAATATGCAGTTTATCTGTTATATACATATCCTTTGAATTGGCTCCCTGATAGTTTTATTTGGTTTTTCTTCACTGTTATATTCTTACAGTGTAAAATTGTTTGCTGTTACCTGCTCTGTACCTCTCTGGGTTTCAGAGAGCTCTGTCATACTCCTTTTTTCTCCATATTGTAATTCCCAGAATATTTAATTGTTCCAGGCATAAAGACACAAAGACATACATTAGTCATTCCTTATCAACCTATTCAGTACTATTTTAAAGTGTTTTACTCAGAAATCAGTTCATGATTGTTTAACACAATAGCATTATTAAAAGATTAAGGTTAGAATGAAATTAAAAGAGATGAGACCAAATAAAGTCACATAACTTTTCCTCATACAAATATCATTCCAAGAATGTGTAGGAATGTCACAAACCAGCCAAGAGAGGGAAATAATTAATGTAAGATTAGTATTGATTTGGTAATCATAGCAATCACATATAAAGAAGTTTCAAATAATTCACAAATTATTACTAAAAAAAGGTATGGAATATAATTCTTATGATATTTTTTGTCTTCACAAATATTTGCTCTGAGCAATACACGGATTGGCTATGGGGTGAATAGAAATATAGTCAGCACTTACATGCTTTAAAGCATTTTAGTAAAACAGAGTTGGAATTTCTTACAAGCAAAATGTATGCAGTCTTGCTGGCTGAATTACTCACACAGTTTTCTGAGACATTGCTTTCATGCCTTTCAGCAAAACTCATACATTCACAAAAGTTTGGTATCAATTGTCAGAAGAGAAATAAAACAAGTGACTCACATGTCACTTGATGACTTGATGTCTTCGTTCTCCTATTCATGGTGTGTATGATACATTGATATTGTTATCTATATTCCAGCTAAGGATTAACAGGTAGAGGTGTGCACAGACCTTTGAATAGAGTATGAGTAACTGCATATGCATATGGATAGTTGCATATGCAGTTTTACATAGGTTTTCCATTTATTTGGGACATTCTGCCACGCCTGCTAATTAGAGACATCACTTCTTATGTGTTCTTCGATTTCTCAGGTTCTCCTTATGCTTTGCCATCCAGGATCAACCATGGCTGGGGTCACTCATCATGTCTAAGCATGCCCTAGGTTTCACTTGCCTGCTTTCTAAATTTATCCTGGCATGCTATTTCTCCTACAAGCCAATATTCAATGTCAGAAACCAAAATTAAACAGGCCTTTCTCTGTGAGCTCTCACATTCTCTTCTGCAAGTGGAAGCAGAAAGCAGCCCTCACAGTATTCAGGGAACCTGCAAAGGCCTCTGAATATTATATGTGTCATGGTCAGCAGTGCCTGTGACTTCAGTGTGCCTCCACATCTTGCCATTCAGAGACACAGTAATTTTACCCCTCAGAGGTGTAACTACACACCTTATCTCCATATTTTTTCTTCTCATTTACACAATCTTTTCCAGTAACTCCTCCCTCCCTCCCTCCCTCCCTCCC